AAGTGGTAGAGTGCTAGCCTTGAGCTGAAGAGCTGAGGGACAGCGCCCAGGCCCAGAGTTCAGGCCCCACGACCGGACCCAAAAAAAAAAAAATAGCATGTCTGAGACTCACCTTCTGTGGCAAAATACTCCAGATGGCACAATGTTTCCTCCATGTACTTTGAGTCTTTTGAAAGTCTTTCAAAAATGACGTTATCCTATAAAACAGGGAAACATTTCCCATGAAGTGTTTCACACTGGCCAACCCTTGAGCACATCTCCCATTTGGCATACTAAACATGGTTTTGTTTTGTAGGTGTTTATCTAATGTACATGAAAATACTTGACTGGGCAACTAAGAACAGAGTTCTTGGCTGGGCTCAGGCCTGCTCTTGAGCAATAAAATTGAGTATGGACATGTTCAACAAAACCTTTTCTGGTATGTATCTTAAAAGTCAAGTAAAAACAAATTGGGAAGGACCCTGGGGACCAGAAGAATAGTCAAGGACACAACAATGCCAGTGCTTGTATATATTTCCAAGATTCACCTCTGGAAGGGTATATGGGCTGGATATCACTATCTGAAATGCTTAGGATGACAATGTTTCAGATTTAGCTTTTTCTTCATATTTTAGGATATTTACATATATGATACTTCTCAGGGATGAGGCTCAAGTCTAAACACAAAACTCACCTATATTTCATAAGCACCTTATAACCATAGCCCAAGGTAAATTTAGATATATTTTTACTGTGTCTACATTTTGATTGTAATTCATCATATGAGGTTAGTTGTAGAATTTCCTGCTAATGTCACATCAATGGCTTGGTTTGGGGACACTTTTTTCACGTGTTCCCATATTGGGGCTGAAACTCAGGGCCTTATGCTCTTGCTTGACTTTTTTACCCAATCCTGGCACCCTACAACTTGAGCCACACCTTCAGCTTTCTGCTAGCTAACTGGAGATAACAGTCTCTCAAATTTGTCTGCCTGGGCTGGATTTGAACCTTGGTCTTCAGATCTCACCCTCCTGAGTAGCTAGACTGACAGGCGTGATCACAGCTCCTAGCTTATAAGCATTTTCTTGACATAGCCTCACGAAATAGTTTACCAATAATTTCCCTCTACTGATAAGACTACCATTTAACAGGATATTGTTTTACAAGTATAGTTCATAAGCAATGTTAAAGAGAACATTTTTGGGTTTGGTTATAAAAAGGGACACAGAACAAAAAGCCTGACCTGGGAAACTGATCAAATAAAGCAGTAAAAACACAGCCATACATATTCTCTCTCATACCTACAAACCAACTATAATTAAGAACAGGTAGCTGGGCCCTGATGGCTCATGCCTGTAATCCTAGCTACTCAGGAGGCTGAGATCTGAGGATCAGAGTTGGAAGTTAGCACAGGTGGAAGTCCATGAGACTCTTATACAAGCTAGAAGTGGAGCTGTGGTTCAAGTGGTAGAGTATCAGCCTTGAGTGTAAAAGCTCAGGCCCTGAGTTTAAGCCCTAGCACCAGCAAAAGAAGAGGGTGGAAGAAAGGAAAAAAGAAAGAAAGAATGAATGAATGAAAGAAAGAAAGAGAGAGAGAGAGAAAGAGAGAGAGAGGGAGGGAGGGAGGGAGGAAGGAAGGAAGGAAGGAAGGAAGGAAGGAAGGAAGGAAGGAAGGAAGGAAG